TCCACAGCCTCAGGAAGTGGGAGTATGATTAGATCAAAAAAATCAGTAGAAACATAGAAGACCCAGACAACATATACACCACCTTAACCTAACTGATATCTATGGAGCAATACACCTTTAAACTGAAGAATACACGTTCTTTTCAAGTACACAATGTACATTCACTAAGATAGACCTTTTGTTGAGCTATGAAACAAGTTTCAGTAAATGTAAAAGGAATGACATTATTCAGTATGTTCTCTGACTGCAATGATATTATTCAGTATGTTCTCTGGATTAAATTAGGACTCAATAACAACAAGATATCAAAGAAAAACCTCAATTATCTGAAAATTAAATAGCACACTTCTAAATAATCCCTTAGGGAAGAAATCATTAAGAAATTTGAATATATTTTAAATGAATAATAATGAAAATACATGTGAAATTTTGTGGCATGCAGCTAAAGCATTGCTTAAAACTAGAAGGGAGGAAAGATAACAGAAATTAATCACATAGAAAACAAAACCAGAAAAAATTTTGGACAAAACCAAATAATGGTCCTTTGAAAAGATCAACAAAACTAATAAATCCCTAAATATTCTGCTCAAGAAAAAAAGTGAGAGAGCACAAATTTTTAGTATTGAGAAGGAAATGGGGCATCGCTACAATTCTGAAGAAAATAAAAAATGATGAGAGAAGATTATGAACAACCTAAAGTTTCAATATCAATATTATTTGGTAACCAAAATTCACCAAATTCATATTTTAAAAAGGATATTTGAGATTTTATATTGAATAAAGATTGGAAATCCAACTGACTTTCAGGTGCACTAAAGCTTTTTAAGAGTTTCTTACTCTCTATAAAGAAGGTGTGGACTAGACTCCCTGATGGTTGCAAATATAAGGTAATAAAAGAGTATGACTTCCAGAATCAGACAGCTGACAGTTCAAATCCCCATTCTACCTAACTACTCTATGATTTTAGCCAAAATTCTCTGAGGAAATTCTTCATGTAAAACAGGGGCAATAATACCCTCCACAATAGATCTTGCATGTAATAACTACACCAGCTCTAAGTGTGTGTGATTACCAAAGTAGGCTTTCACCCATGAGAAAGCCACCATTTCCAGAAGATACATCTGGTGATAACCACTTATAGTATTCCATCTCAACATCCATCTTCTCAAACTTTTCCAAAAGAAGCCCTATTTCCATCTATCAAATATCCCTGCTTCCCAGGAATACCACTGGATGTGGATGCTGAACAAAGATAAGAAATGAGGGAACCAGGAAGTTGTCTCTGAAGATGACTTTCCAGACTGGTAAAAAAAATAAATAAATAAAAAATAAAGCTTGGCATCTAAAATTCTCAGAATAACTTAGGAATAATATAACTTCTGCCTAAGTTCTTTTGACGTTAACCACTCACATAAACGATCAAAGCACAGAACTTCTAGTTCTATATATGTCACAAATTTTAAAATATGTATGATGAAAACTCTGAATGCTACAAGTCTATGGAACAGTTTGCAATCATAATAGAAGATGCAGTAGCAGCATCGTCCCAAGAAGTGAGGCTGTTTCAGAGCTGGCTGAGTCCACATCCCATATTTGAAGGGGTTCTCCTGGACTGGGTATGCTCCATTTCCTGACACCTGCCTTAACTCTCATTGAAGAGGTTCTTGCCTGACTCTCTAGGACTTGAATTTTAGAAGACTAGGCTCTGCTTCTCCTTCTGAAAATGGAGGTCGTTTCCTAACATCTGCCATGCAGTAACCACACCACGAGAGACTTGGTTATGACCAATCAAGAAAGAGTCTAAGCATAGTGTATTATAGTGTTTTATTAACTTGTTTTTAGGATTTGAATAGCTTTTCTCAAAGTAAATTTTATATAAAACAGATTTTTAAGAATATAATGAGCTGTGATTATCTGCTCAGTTCCCTCCTATCCTCTCCTGCTCTTTTCCAGCCCCCATCACTGAGTACCTGCAGAATTCTGGACTCTTAGTCACAGCTCACAAACAACTGGTACAGAAGAAACATCAAGGGCTTTGGAATAGTCCTTGGCCTGCAGTTTCCCCAAATGCAAAATAAGAATTGCACCACCCATGAGGCAGTGCTGTCCTGAGAACTAAATGTTAAGAAACTCAATTGGTGAACGCTCCATTTATGTTAGTCTTTTGCCTCTTATTTCCCATTTTCTGATCTGAATGGTATTCTCAAGAATGTCATTGAAAAACATCTTGTATTGACAAACACATGGAGTTTTTTTGTTGTTTTGGGGAGAGTGTGGGGAGCAGTGAGTAGGGAGCTTGCAGACTCAAACTTTGGATTGAAGTAGCTGGTAAACAGAAAGGCACCAAATCAGGGTTTGGAGAGACCTGGCTGCTGGGGTCAAGTCTGGTCAGCCCAGCCAGCCAGGGACAAACACGCTTGTTTCTCCAACAGCTTATGGAAACCCAGATTCACCCCCAAGGACTTGGAGAGCTGCTACTAACTTGGCTTTTGAGCCTCCCAGGCAACACAGTGCTTGGCAGGAAAGGAGCTGCAAAACTTGAGACTGTCAGCCCCTCTGAGAGGGAGGCAGTGAGGGGGCCTGGCTCTCTAGGGACAGGGAGGGAGGCTGGTGCCAGAGCCCAGTGCACTGGGATCCATTACTCCCAGGCTGTGCAGCGAGCTGGAATCTCTCCCTTCCCTGTCACAGCAGCTCAGTGAACACACGGTGTTTTGATCACATGCTTTACATCACTCTTGTAGCTCAATACCCAGGTTTTGTCCTCATGGGACCCAAGGAGCATGAGCTGACAGAAGCATCCTATCTTCCTACTGTTCTGCCCTCCACTTCCAAATCTGGCATCCCAGCCACTGGGTACTTGTGGACCCAGGAATACCTGTGAACACCTGAAAGGTGTTCCAAGTTATATTTTTAAAAACACTTTTCATTTAATCTGAAGCAATTCCAGAGAAAATTACCCAATGATAAGGAGATTGTCAGCCCTCAGATTTGAAATTCACAGACTTACATATATTTATATTCTGGTGACTTTTAAAGTGAAGCAGAGGAGGGCACAGAGAAGAGCATGGGCTTAGAAACCCGGTGGACCTGAGTTTGAACTCAGGCTCTGTGGGTAACTGACTGTGTGACCTTGATCAAGACATTGACCTCGCCAAGTCTCGATCTCTTCATCTATAGAACAGGGCATCATACCTATCTCGTTGAAATGTTTTATAATCAAATGATATAAAATATATAAAATCTTCTTGTTAATTGTAAAATACACACACACTCATTATTTAAATATAAATATTATCAGAAACAATATGAGGAGTGATTATTGGTTTGTGTTAAGTGATGTAACATTGGAATATTACTTAGATAAATGACATGAAAATAGAGATATAAAAACCACTACTTACTTACAATCTGAAGTACTAATGACTTCCAGAAATTTAATTGTCCAAATATTTATTGCTTTACTATGTGCTATTTAGAGCAAGATACAAAGATGAGAAAAATTAAAGCCATATTCTCAAAAGAGTGAGAGCCTAATGAAGGGAAATAAACACTAAAATAAAGATAGGAAAAGCCTTAAAGGATTCCTTCTGAATGGTGTGGGAGTTCAAAGCAGGAAAAGGGAATATCCAGACAAGATAATCATGGAAGCTTCCTAAAGGTGGCAGCATGTCAGCTGGGTCTTGGAGAGTGTGCAGGACATTAACAGGCAGAGATGAGGAAAATATTACAGGTGAAAGGCACAAGGGGATTTTCAGAAAACAGTAAGCTCTAACAGAGTTTCACTGAAAATAAAAGTTTAGCATTAAGCAATGGTCACCCCTTGAGGGTATTTTATATCAAGCAGGAGTTTATAGTTGGTTCAGGGGGCAATGGGCAGTCACCAAAAATTTCTGACGAGGGGAATTATGAAATCAAAGAAATGCTTTAGGTTGATTAGTCTGGAAACGTGGAAGAAAACTTATCTGCTGAGAATGAGGGGCAGGGTTAGGGCTCTAGGTACATTCTTCTGGTCTGGTGACTGCAAGAAATAAGACTCAAAAAAAGATGGTTAAAATATTATAGGGCAGCAGTGAGGGCCCAACAGCAGTTAAACCCTTACCTTACTCAAGAGGCAGCTCCCAAGTGAAGAGCGGGCAGGAGCAAGTGCTCACGAAAGGAGAGAACAAGGCGATTTGCTGGCGTGAGAGAGGGGGGTGCTGGGTGCTTTGTTGCAATGGTTGAGCAGCACGAGAAGCCAAGAGGCTGAGAGAAAACTAACAGATCAGACAACTGGAGGGAACCCAGGGAAGAGAAGGCAGACAAGATGAACAGAAGAGACTTTAGAGATAAAATGTTAGTGATACATAGAAAATAAAATCTGTGCCTATAAAGTGGATATCATTGTCTAGCACTTTCAAATCACTTAAATGCTGTGGTTCCAATTGATTCTTTAGAAACCTGAGTCTAATGCTGGCCTGAGCTTATGTGAATCTCCGGACAAGAGTCGACACCTGCTGTTCAGGTGACTAAATCCTCCTCTGACCCACTGGGCAAATCCTCAGTATGTCACGTCAATAGAATTTCTAAGCATCTGAGTGACCACTACTTCCCTCCCTAACTTTTCACCTCTCAAAACCAAAGACTCAGGCTCTCCAAACCCAAAGGACATATGACTGCTGTTCCCTGAGACAGTCCTTCTGTCCCACCTCCCTTTTCACCATTCCCAGACTGACCTGGCTTTCTGGAAGAGTTCATTCTCTCCAGACCTGCACTCTGCCTCAAGGCCACTGTCATATGTGGAAATGCAGCACTTGAAGACCCCTCTTACTCCACTCCATCCTAGAGACCCCTTCGATCCTATCCAATCTCATAAAAATGAAGAAACAGAGATTTCAAGAAAGAAGGTGACTGGCCCAAGGTCACTCTATCAGGTAAGGTAGAGGCAGAATGACATCTTAGGTGCCAGATTTCCCATCCCCTACTCCCCCAATTTTATCTAAATAAATTATCTATTTTTTGTCTCAGATCACATTGCTCCCCATGAGTCTCCTCATGGCGCTTTTCACTTCAGCATTCCTGAAAGAGTAAATGACAGGGTTTAAGAGAGGCGTGACCACTGTGTAAAACACAGCGACTGTCTTGTCTGCAGGGAGGGTGACACAGGGCCTCATGTAGACAAAGGAGCAGGGGATGAAGAACAGGCCCACAACTGTCACGTGAGAGGCGCAGGTGGAGAGGGCCTTACACCGCCCTTCCCAGGTCTGGCTCCTCAGGGAGTGCAGGATGACCAGGTAGGAAGAAAGTAGCACCGTGAAGCTGACCACCGAGATGGAGCCGCCATTGACGATGATTAGCAGGCCAATGAGGAAGGTGTCTGAGCAGGCCAGCTTCAGCACAGGGTGGACATCACAGAAATAGTGGTCAATGAGATTAGGGCCACAGAAGGGCAGCTGGAAAATGAGGAAGGTTTGCCCAACAGAATGCAACAAGCCCCCACCCCATGCCGCCCCCACCAAGAGGCCACACACTCGCTGGTTCATGATGGTTGTATAGTGCAGGGGCTTGCAGATGGCCACATAGCGGTCATAGGCCATCACAGTCAGGAGAAAGATCTCAGTGCCACCAAAGAAATGCAGGAAAAATATCTGCGTGATGCAGCCCTTGAGGGAAATGACTTTCTTCTCAATAAAAGAGTCAAAGATGAGCTTGGGGGCTGTGACAGAACAGTAACAGATCTCCACAAAGGACAGGAAGCTGAGGAAGAAATACATGGGGGACGTGAGCCCTTTGCTGGCTGTGACGGTCACCACAATGAGGCCATTGCCCAGCACAATGGCTGTGTACATGAGGAGAAACATTGCAGAAATGACCTTCTGCACATCCTGCTTCTGAGAAAATCCCCAGAAAATGATTTCTGTCACATTGCTTGTAGCAGCCATGGTTTAAAGCTCAGGGGCTGACAGCCTGGAATCACAGAAATCAAAGAACTTGCTTCAATAGTTAGCAATATCTTTTTCAGGCCTTGAGGACTATTGTCATTTTGCTCCCTTTTGAGTCCCCTCTCCACCCTGGGTTTCCCCAAAAGATGTTCTCCATGAGACGGGTGGATAAAACAGCAATCAGCAGCTGCTTGATATGATTCCCAAAACAGGACTTCGCTTTGAGTGATGTTCCTTGAAGTATTTTTTCTGACCCAAGCACATGCACTAGCTGGTTTTATCTTCAAAATAAAAATAGGACACTTTATAGATAAGAAAACTAAGACTCAGAGAGGTTTAGTCACTTTCCCAAGATCACACAGCTCATATTTGAACCAAGATTGTATTTTTCAAAATGTAGATGCTTCCATGACATCTCCTACTCCTGAAGAGTGCCTTATATTGGTTGCATAATAGCAGTTTCAGGTTAATCTTGCTTTACACCATAATGTGGAACCATATTTCACAGCTAGAGTTTTTCAAACCCAGTTGTTCTGTAACCTGTGAAACTAACCAGGCACCCTGACAGGTGTTAAAAAGAAGCTGAAAATAGTGGAAAAAAATAACATGGCCAAGCTTCAACCACCGTCTTTCGAGTTGGGTGTGGAGAAAGAAATGTGTATGATAACAGGCTGCCTTAGGGGTCCTGGAAACAATGGCTAAGAAACAATTCAAAAGACATTTAAGTATCAGTTTGTAACAACCTGTTGTTCAATGAGGGTGTGATAGCGTGTTTAAATCAGAGCTTCAGATCACAGCAAGTTTACACAAAGAAAGCACCTATGCTGAATGTGAAGACTGCCTCCTGAAGCAACAGCACATTTAGAGACCCCAGTGTGCACTGTAAAGGGACCTGAATGTTTCCCCAAAAGATGTTCTCCATGAGACGGGTGGATAAAACAGCAATCAGCAGCTGCTTGATATGATTCCCAAAACAGGACTTGGCTTTGAGTGATGTTCCTTGAAGTGGTTTTTCTGACCCAGGCACATGCACTAGCTGGTTTTATCTTCACAATAAAAATAGAAGGACACTTTATAGATAAGAAAACTAAGACTCAGAGAGGTTTAGTCACTTTCCCAAGATCACACAGCTCATATTTGAGCCAAGATTGTATTTTTCAAAATGTAGATGCTTCCATGACATCTCCTACTCCTGAAGAGTGCCTTATATTGGTTGCATTATAGCAGTTTCAGGTTAATCTTGCTTTACATCATAATGTGGAACCATATTTCACAGCTAGAGTTTTTCAAACCCAATTGTTCTGCAACCTGTGAAACTAACCAGGCACCCTGACAGGTGTTAAAAAGAAGCTGAAAATAGTGGAAAAAAATAACATGGCCAAGCTTCAACCACCGTCTTTGGAGTTGGGTGTGGAGAAAGAAATGTGCATGATAACAGGCTGCCTTAGGGGTCCTGGAAACAATGGCTAAGAAACAATTCAAAAGACATTTAAGTATTAGTTTGTAACAACCTGTTGTTCAATGAGGGTCTGATAGCGTGTTTAAATCAGAGCTTCAGATCACAGCAATTCTACACAAAGAAAGCACCTCTGCTGAATGTGAAAACTGCCTCCTGAAGCAACAGCACATTTAGAGACCCCAGTGTGCACTGTAAAGGGACCTGAAGACTGACAAAGGGTGATCAGACACAGAAAATCATAATCACAGCCTTTGAAGTGGTCATTGCTTCTGGGTGAAACAAGCCTGCCAGCAAAGCTGAAGTACCCTGAGTCAATATTCACACACTTCAACAGAGAGCTTGCAGTCCAAGCCAGCCCTCTGTGTGAAAGAGAGCAGCTGAGCTGTGCCACTATGACCTGGTGACAAGAACACAGGTTTCTCCTGACCCTGGGTTCAAATCCTAGCACTGCTGCTTAGAAACTGTGTAACATTAAACAAGTACAGAAATGCCTCTAAGCATATAATTTTGATGTGAAAAATGGAAATAAAAATACCTTTTGCATAGTGCTACTCTGATGATAAAATTAGCTCACCTATGTTAAAAGCAGATTATAAACTATAAGAGTATAATTGATCATGCTTTTATTGTGCCTTATCACCCCACTAATGCAGAGTGTGGTGGGGATTCATCAAGGTGCTCTTGCTTCAGGAGGTGGCCCTGTCACTTACCTTTGCTCATTCAGACTTGTGGTTTCTCTGGGTTTTGATTTAAGCACCTAACAACAAGCCATTGGAACAGCTGGGTATGTTACAAAACAGAATTGAATATGTTAAGCAGCATGCTAAGCCAGTCTTAAAAAGAAAAATACTATACGAGTCCTGTTATATGAGGTACCTGGGGTGGACAAATTCGTAGAGGCAGAGAGTAGGATGGTGGCCTCCAGGGGGCGGGGGAGGGGAGAACATGAAGTTGGCATTTAATGGTCGAGTTTCAGTTTGGAGCACTGAAAGGCGTTCTGGAGATGAATGGTGGTGATAGATGTATAATGTGAATGTACCTCAGTACCACTGAACTTTACACTTAAAATGTTTAAAACGGTAAATTTTATGTGTATTTAACCACAATGTAATTAATTAATAATAAATAAATAAATGATTGAAATGCCTTCTGACTTGTTACCTTCTCATACATTTCCCCTTCTCCATGCCCACACCTCCAAGTTCACTTGTTCAAGCTTGGCCACCCTGTCCTTTCCCCCTACTTTTAGCTTCTATCTTAATGCCTGTTAGGAAGCCTGATTAGTTTCAAAGGTTGCCGAATAATTGGGGTTGAGAAACTCTATCACTCAGCGTAAAAAATCTGTTCCACATTATGGTGTAAGGTAAGACCGATATGCTATTCTTGCTATGCAACCACTATAAGGTGCTCTGCAGAAGTAAGAGGTGTGGGAGGAGCATTTACGTTTTGCAAATACAAACCTCAGTTCAAATATGAGTGGTTTGAACCTTGGCAAGCGACTGAACTCTTGGCCTCAATTTCCTTATCTATGAAACAGGCATAATACTATCCCCTCACTATTGTGCCCTTCTCTCACCTCCACAACGTGCTCCTCTGTGT